GAAGCAGATGATGAAGTAGTGCAGGAGTTGTGAGTATCTTGTCCTTCCTTAAAACGGGTCAAGGCCATTTATAATCAACCAGCAACACGGGCCTTATTCCTTTTCTCTGAGAGGACCAGAGGAGAGACTCTTCATCATAGTGGGGCTTCTTCCTCTGGTATGCCTAATCAATCGAAGGCCTTGATTAGTCACCATTGGAACGATTCATCTTTATACTGTGCTCTTCTCCCTCGGGGAGAACGTAAAGCAGGGAAGTGTTATCTTTTCTTTAACTTTCAGGACATGCAGTAAGCCTCAGCTTCAGGGGTTCATTCAGACTGTGAGAGAACGAGGCAGGATGGTACACAGGGAAACATGTCTCTCTAATTGAAAACTCCCTAACCTCATCCTCCTATAAACAACCACAGCAACAACAAAACAAAACTTCTGACAAGCCACATGGATTAAGAGACTGATTTGTGGCCAGCTGGAGGACAGTGGAGCCCACAACAAGGCTGCAGGACAGTCTCTGCTCTGAGGCCCAGAGGAGGGGAAGTCACGGGGGTGGTGGTGGTGGGAGGCCATAAAGCCTGGCAGAGCCGTGCTGTTGCACCGTTTACAGTTGTAGTCAATTCGGAGATCAATGGAGAAACAGTCCTGAAGACTTCAGAGGAAAGCTGCATTGTTGCGGTGGAGTGTATTACATGAGCCTTCCTTTCATACGAGACAGGACTTTGTTGAGACATTTGTTTCTCATTTTCCGCTGGTCTGGGGATCCAGTGCGGTTAAGCACCAAAAGGTTTTTGTTTAAATTTCAAGAGCATAAAGAATCCCATTTTGACATGTGAACACATACATGTTTTACAAACTCTGTGGTGACTGTACCAAAGTGGGGCTGATAGATTATACAGTCAAATGCAAATCAAATCCATTTGCTTTGTGAGATTTACTAAAATCAAATTTAAATTAGAAGATTAAAGTATTGCAGCTATTGTGCAGATTTTTTTGTTTTTCAAAAGAGGATAGATCTGGTTTTGGACTTGTGGAAACAACCCTGTTGGTGGGCATTTCCCATGGCGGCGGCTGAGTGACATAAAGCGTTACGAGGAGATAGGCTGTCAACTTCCGTAGCGTGCTACACAGCCTGAAATCACGAAGCACTGCGGATTCAAATGGTTTTGTTAAGTTCAGTTCAAAGATTCAGTCACTGACTATGTTTTTTTCAAAGCTAAGCAACTGTATCACTGTTCAAATTCACTTTGGATCGTACAGGAGTAGGTTATTGCATCACAGCACATCACAGCGCCACAGCGTTTGACACTGATTCTCACTGTCTTTGTCTTTGTCTTTGCCCTGACACACGCTGTCGATCAATGTTTGGCCGTCTGCAAGTGTCTGTCTCCTAGTTTTTGCAGTGTGTCCCGCACCGTCGGCTCTAGTCGCCCCTTATTCTTAGCAGTCCCTGCAACATTATCAGTCTCAGTCTCTATATCGCAACAGGGTGAAACCTGACCCAGACAAGATCCTGGCTGTACAACCCACCAGCGCCATGCCACAGCCACCAGTATGACGCAGGAGGGAGCGACAGCGACCAGCGTCTCACACCAATGATTGGGATGAACAAGACAGGCCCATTTGCCGCCAGTGCAGACAAGCAGGTCACTTTGTTGAGTTTGTGGGAGGCCAGCTGCCTCTCAGCTGGCTTTAAACTAGCCAAATCTATTCTCTTCCGTATATCAATTTAGGCCCTCCCTTCCACTGCTGATTGGATGCAGGGGCTTGGTCTAGCGCTCTCATAGGCTGATATGACTTTCAATAAACAAAAGACAGAGCTGCAAAGGTGCAGGTAATCTGTAATCATCTGTCACGTATACGGCAGGAAGTCACATTTTAACTCTAATAGCATGCTATAAAATCAAAACAATAAAACGCTAATAAATAAAAGAGTATAAAAACATGCATAGCAATTCACAGTACATGAATAACCATAAAATCAACACTTGCGCTTGTGACATTTCAGCTTTTATGTCGGTGTCAGAGACGGTGGAGGCCATCAATGAAAGAAATCCCTCTGATTGTCAGTTCAGCTCAGTGCACAAGAAGAGAAATGGAAGTTAGGAAAGCAAGCAAACAGCTGAAGTCAAAAGGGTGTGAGATTGTTATATTTGGTATGAAGCACTAGCTCACCAGAGACTCTAGCCTCGTTTCCACCGAGCTGTACGATACAGTTTGGTACGTTTCCACAGTGAAAAGTTGTGGATGGTACCAATGGAACGTTCTGTATCGTCCCCATGTTTGGTCCCCCCTCTGTTGGGGTACCTAGCACACAGATGTGGTACTAAAAGGTGGAGCTGTGAACACTGCAGTCTGATTGGTCAGTAGAGGACGGTCACTCTGCTCAGGGCTGAGTTGTGTCTGGTTTTGAGGCTCATGTAACCACTGTTCATACTGTGGAGAGTTTTATTAGTAAACTGTAACTATAAAATGAAAGGTTGTTTTGCTGCCTCTCACAGCAGCTGGAGTCTGAGAAACAATAACTTCATTCACTGGGCCGACTGCCGGTGACTTTTAAGGTGGAACGTTAACTTGTAATGTTACTCAGTGCATGAGGTGATGACGTGAATCCATCAGCACACCTTAAATTTCACTGTGACAACTTTGACCATCACTTTAGTTTTTATATGACACACACTTTTAGTAATGACTTTAAAAATATAGATTAATTTGGAGCGGATTATGTGAAGGTCATATATTCTAATCCTCACTTCCTGTGGGCTACAGCAACACTAAACCTCTGAGCTTGCCTGAGAAGGACTAAATGCACAAACCCAGTATTTATATTTAAATATCCCATGGAGAGAGACTCTCACTGCAGCCTGTTCTATTTTGTTCTGAAAATGTCGGCGTGCAGCCTCGTTCTGTGGACGATAAACCAGGTGCAGACTTCCATCTGTGTCACCACTGATGAGGAAATACAGCGAGTGCTGGACGGAGCAGTGAGTGACAACAACCCCTCCCACATTACGCTAGGGTCTAGGTACCATGTCTGAAGGATTACTTTTGGTTCCAAAGGTACCATACTGAAAGTGTTTGGTGGAAACGGGGCTTTTGCTGGCCTAGAGGCTAACCATTTACTTCCAGTTTCGGGCTTCACTAACTTGAATTGGGATAAAATGATTTAATCGTGCAGCTCTTCTAGACTTTCTGAATACAGTACATAAGTGCACCAAAGAGCTGATATCTTACAAAACTTAATTGAAATGTCAGATAGATAGTGATGTCAGAAAGAGGAGAGACTATCTGAATACAGTTTTAAAGAATACCATAATTCAGGTGTGTGTGTGTGTGCATGTACAGTGTTGTGTGCTGTGTGTGTTGTACCTCTAGTCTTTATGAAAGTGATAAATGGGAGGCCAGTTGGCTTTAATGGGTAGTCGGGCCAGCTGTACGAACTCCTCCTCTCTTGCATCCTCTGGCAAACACAATTAGTCACATTGATCAAGTGAGCAGCAGAACAATGGGTAATACCCCGCTGGAACCACTTCTGTGGTTTAGTCACCACCTTCGCCGCCCAGACCGGTCGGATGTGATGGATAGGCAACATACAGGAAGCTGGGCGAATGAATCCTTTGATCTCACATCACAAATAAGTTCATTGTTAAAAGAAGGAAAGGGAAGATATGAGAGACTAGACTTTGCTGTGCTGCACTCTGCATGGTTTGGTTTTAAAAGTGCGGAAACCGAATGTAAAGCAGAATGTATCAGATGACTGTGTAGTGTTTAGTGACTGCAAATGTAAATGATGACATGTGTCCTTAGTTGAGAAAGAGACAGCTGTATTTGTCATACCATACCAGTGGAGGGGGGTAGATGCCACTTTGTCTCTGTCGTCATGCTGCTGACTGTTGTGGTCTCTTTTTAACATGTTCAATTCCTCACAGATGTGGTGTTCACTTTTAAGGCATATTCCCTATCATGGCCATTAAACCCATGTAATGGCGCCAAGATGTTCCCGGAGACAGGAGGCGTATGAAATAAAAAGCCTGCTGTGCTCCAAAGGATCGTTCTCAACACTGAAGAGAAACACTTCAAGTATGTATTTTGCCTTTTTGCAATAGCACAAACCACACGCTGCACATACAGCAACATAAAGCTGTTAAAGTTTGTGGAGCTGCTCCCATGAAGGAAACCTCAGCGGTGTGACAAATAGCTTGTGGGAATACAAGACATTGCAAGCAAAGTTGAAATAAAGATGTGATCTTTTAATCAGATATGTGCAACGTACAGTCTGAGGGAACACTGTAATTGGAGCAATTTTTCCTGTTTTTAACAAGCCTCTCTTTTCAACTGGGAGTAATGGAGAACGTCTGGATGCATTTGCAGGGTTCCTCTGTTTTCATTGCATTCCTGCTGAGACAATCTTGCACAGTCTATAGCAGGCAGACCATATATTTTTCAAACAGCCACACTCGTAAAAAGACAAAAAAGGCATGGGTCCTAATCCACACTTTTAATGAGCGAAAACGGAAGTAATGACATGCAGGGAATAATCTGTCTTCTCTCTGCTCTGCCAACTGACACCAATAACCCGTGGCCGGCCTAATGCCCCGGTTATGACACGTTGTGTAATAGGAAAGGAGGACTTCTCCTGGGATTCTCTCCCACAGGCAATTATTAAGAATGATGACACTTTAACAATCGCTGGATCAGAGCGCTCAACTTTGTCATCATGAGTGAATCCTATTATGCGGCGGCATAATGGTCGTCTGTGAAAATAGAAAGACAATGGGTATCACAAGGCATCTTTCTGCGCAGGAAAACAAAGCTCATTTGAGGCGTCTTGCCATCCAAGCCACCCTTTGTGCGAGCGTACGAGCCTCAATTGTTTTCTCCTCTGCAAGTAAATACCCGGCTTAATGTGGTCCTGTGGCTCAGAGATATGATACTTACAGCTCGGTCCAAATATTATGAATACATTCACCTCTGATTACACATGAGCTAAATGACTATACAGACATCACAACTTTCTGAAGCTTTATTTTGTCTTTACACATGCAGTAAAATGTCTCCATGTTATAAACATTTCTGGATTGCTATCAGAGGAGTTTGGAGAACATCTTGATAGGATGAAGATGCTGCTTTGGCTTCGAACAATGGGAGGCTGTTTCAGTTAACTCCAGGCCTCCTCCCTCCCCGTTCCAAATACCTAGATAGCTAGCAATTTAGGCAATAAACACTTTGAGGAATGGCAGCATGCCATCCTCTCTCACTGTCTGTGTTTGTCTCACTTCATAGCATCATAAGGCCACAGAGGATTGCTTTTGTCATGGAGCCATTTTGGAAAACAGGGACGACACATGTGACACTTGAGAAAAGAAGGCTATTGTGTTTTGTTTGGCACTCATGCAGGTTATAATTGATTCAGTTTAAACATGCATGTAAAATGTAAGGTTTGAGAAACAGACGTATTGATATACACCTCTGGATTTCAGTGGTATTTCTCTTAGGAAACAACACTTTTTCACAGCATAACCTGAACTGCAGGAACATAGACGGTACAGAAAAACCAAAAGGTGAAGAGCATTTTCTTTCTTAACTGATCAAACTGCTGAATGAAACAATGTAGCTGGTGTTACAGAATCATCTGTGTCTTATCACTGAGAAGAAGAAAAAAATCCCCTAAACAGAAAAACGTGGAGAGCCAGAGTTTTCTCTCAGAGAGCCTCCACAGCGGCTGTTGTCTTTAAGGAGGGAGGGGAGATTGCTTTCAGCGGCCTCAGCCCAGGACTGGTTCTCATCATTTTGACAATAAAGCTCAAGCAGTTGAAACAAAGCAACGGTTCATGAGAGAAAAAATGAGGGGGCTAGGAGATTTCCGCTGGTCTGCACCGAATTGTCTCCCCTTCAAATCCGACAGCCAAAGAGGAGCAGAGTGGTGACTTTAGGGGAAAAGCTTTGGAGGCTTAATTCCTCTCTGGCACCCTGGGGCCGGAGGACGCAGAGACCAAAGGGCTTGAAATGGTTCAAAGAAGAATGAGTGATTGTGCTTTGAATTCCCAGAGGTTTGTTTTTGTAGTGTCGGGGTTTTATTGCAGCATTTTGTTGCTTTTCTACAAGCTGAAAATAAGATCTGACACAGAGTAATGACTGAAAATGTGGAGACTGAGTTCAGATCGCTCTGCTGATTAAAAAACAATACCTAGCTGACTTTAGGCACTTGCTGTTGCTTTCATATGGACATAAGGAGCAGGCGTGATTTTAAGACTTCACTTATTAAACTCCCTGTACAACATTCACGTCCGTTTAGCTCAAGAGAGCGAACAAATCCAGGATATTCTGTACTAAAAGAGCGCATTTGTTGTGTAAAGAGGAAAAATGGGCAGTGCATGCTTTAAACAACAAGGCTGAAAGATAATTAACACTATTGTATTTATATATTTACAGAAAAATCTGTACACTTTTTACATGTCACTACTGATAAATGCATTGGAAAAGAGTCATAAGAAAAAACACCAGAGGTGATTGTCCTCTCACACGTCAGCACTCGTGGAGACCTGTGATAACCTGGGGTCAGAGTCAATCTCGAAGCGGTAGTGGTAGCCCTCCCACACCTCCCTGCAGGCGTCCCGCAAGTCATAGATGCGCTTCTTGATGCCCTTGCGGTTGAGATAAAGTACAAACAGGAAGATGAGCCCCACGAAGCCCAGGACTATACCCAAGAAGACGTAAGAGGTCTGCAAAGCAAGGTCAGCCCCTGCACCGCTCTGATGGCATCCCAGAGTCAACGTGCCCACAGCCAGCATGGATGTGTTTCTCATGCTGGCCGGGAACGCGCACACGAGGCCCTCAGCATCACTTATGCGTCCCTGTGATCTGTTGAGCCACAGAGCAAATGGTTCGATTCCACACGTGCATGTAAACGGGTTTTCCCCCAGCTGAAGAACAGCACCAGGCAGGGAGTCCAGCTCTCGTAGGCCCTCCTCGGGGATCGTCTTCAGGGCGTTCAGGGTCAGATCCAGCTCCTCCAGGTGCTCCAAACCTGAGAAGGTGTTGTTGTGAATGGCCACCAGGGAGTTGTTGGAAAGCAGGAGGCGCCGCAGGCTGGTCAGGTGGGAAAAGATGCGTGAGGGTAAATAGATGAGGCCGTTGTGAGAAAGGTCCAGCCCCTTCAGGGTACCCAGGGAGCTCCAGCGGAGAGAGGTGGCCAAGTCCATCACTGACGAGTGGTTGTAGAGGGCTCGGCTCAGGTTGAGTTCCCGCAGAGACTGGTTCTGCACGGTGAAGGCCTCGGGGTGGATGAGTGCCAGCTGGTTGTTGCTCAGATCCAGGGAGCGGAGGCTGCGGAGTTCGGCAAAGGTGTGGGATTCCACCTCGGAGATTCTGGATGTGAGAGGACAAAGATGTCGTTCACGCTTTTTCACAAGAGCAAGAAAGTGGAAAAGAAGAACTGATGCTTTCAGACATAAAAACAGGACTGATTTATGTTGAGAGAATTTAAATAAAATGTGATGTGAGTGTCATTTTACCATAAAAGTCTGCAAAGCTCCCTTTTCAAGTGTCACTTGACTAAAATTATAAAATCTTGGCTGCTATGTTTCAGCGACAATCAGGACTGATGGCTCAAATACAGTATTTTGCTCTGAGACAAACTGCTCTGTCCTAAAGAAATATTTGTTTTCTGTTCTCCAAGCTTTGCATCACAAAGTCATGTTTGTCATGAATGACATAAAGGCAGGAGAGTCTTACCTGTTATTGCTCAGAGACAGGTTGGTCACATTCCCCAGCCCTTTAAAAGACTCCGGACCGATCCGCCCGATCTGATTCCCAGTTATGAACAGATTCCTGGTGTATCCGGGGATCCCAGTCGGGATACTCCGCAGGTCTCTGGAGACGCACTTCACGGTGTGAGCCGCCTCTGAGCATTCGCAGCGCGGAGGGCACGGCGCGTAAACGGAGCCGAGCAGCGCGCAAAAAACAATGCGCTGCGCCAAATGCAGCATGTTGGGGAGAGAAAAGTGTGCGGTCCGAGAGCAGAGAGAGAAACACAGGGAGGAAAATGCTGAAATGAAACGATCAGCTCCTCCAAGACATCATTATCATCTGTTGTCCCGGCTGAGAATGCGCCTCAACTTTGCATCTCTGCAGAAAGTGTGGCGGAGAGGGAGGGTCTGATTTCCATGAGAACAAAACTGGGGGTCGTGCTAATCAGAGGGGGTGTTTGATCCTTTTGCCGTGGCAAAGCGGGGCGTCGCTTCTTCTCCAACAATGAAGTTAAAAGGACCATCGCCTGGTGCGATGATACGCGGGGAGGGGCTTCTCTCCTGCTCGTACCCTGTCCGGATCCACGAGATCTTCCTCTCAGGCTCGAGTAGACGCTGCTGGCATGACAGAGGAGGAGAAAGTGGTTCAGCTCTCAGCTCCCTGTCTACTCAGATTTACCATTTCGCGCGTTGCAGCCACATATAATCATGTGGCGTCAGTGTCATTGGCCAGAATTGCAGTCCCTTCACTCCAAAATGTGGGCATGGAAATCTGGACATTTATGATTGTACTAAAAACATGAAAAATAATGCAAGAAAATCTAATATAGTGAAAATGACTTGGGGCAGAGTTCAGTGCCCATGTTTCCTCTCTGTATATCTTGTCAGGAATCATTATTCTTTTTCACTCTAATCTTGTTTTAAAGAGGTTTTTTAATATATGCTATTAGGTGCAATAACTTCCCTGTTAACTAGCTGGTGAATGTAATGTCCCTGGTCATTCCCACCTACCCAGGTGGTATGGTAAACGTGGGGGAGGGGTGTTTGGGGGCCAGACACAAGCCTTTGATCCCCCTTTTCTTGAATGTCATGATGCTCTGCAGGATAATAGCCATTGGGTGGGACTTGTAGCCACTTGATAGCTGCGTATCAAAGCCTTCTCTAATGTTGATTCTGACAGCTTATAATGATTATTACAGGAATCACTTCACAGTGTATTTATAGAAACTTGAGGAGGAGGAGGGGACTTTGCCTTTCATGGCTCGGAGCGCCGTGAATTCCAAACATCATCCCTCCCGCTGTCAGCACTGATGAAACACAGTTGTCATAATTCAGTGATTGAAATCCAGAGGAAGAAAAGAAAACTCGCAAATTTCTACAATAATAGACATCTTTATTGGTATTATAGCTGTAAGTCATAAACACATTCAGAGTTCACACAGTCACTTGCAGAGGAGTCTTAAAATTCCCCATGGTCTATATGATCTGCAGCATAAAAGATATTTTGGGGATTAGAGAAACAAAAGAGGGTTTTGAAATTGCAGACTGGTATAAGTATATATGGATAGTGGCACTAATAATAGCATCCCAACTGTCTTTTGTCAGCGGACTGAATTGCTGGGACCACAGGTCTCCACATTCCTGGACCTGGCTCTTGGATACAACAAGGCACCGCAGCAGGCAACATCTAAAACCATTCAAATCATCTCCATTGAATATTGCATTCTTGCACATGCACTCCAATAAAGGACCGGCGGACTATTTATCGTCACAAGTTCTATCTTTCCTCCTAAAATATACACATATATTTATATGTCAAAAGCAGCAATAATGACAATGTTGTGAGTTTCAAGTCATTCATTCATTGCCTCTCGCAGCTCAGAGTGTAATGAATGAGCTGTTTGACTAAAGAAAACAAGTTACGGATTCAAGCACAGTTTGTCTCCCATTTCCTGTCATTTAGCGCAATTACAGAGAACCAAAGGGGTTTTCATGTTTCTGTTTTTCTCTATAGGTATTTTCCACAGCCACGTTCACTAAGTTTGGACAGAGACGTGAAACGTAGCTGCAGTTTAATGAGCATATTTCTTTTTTAAACACATGCTACTTTTAGTAACATCATTCTCAAGTCAAATTCCCAACAAGTTAAAATGTAAATATTTGAGACTCTGGGGCGTAAATTTTTGTACGTACATAAAGGCAATTACCTCTTCACAGCAGTGACATGGCTTTAGGAAACAGTCGTGGAGCGTCACAGTAAAAAGGTTGGAAATATTCCCAAAACAATGTTTTTATTTACAATAATGTTCAAACTGACGGCACGTTCTCCATCTCTTCCTCCTTCCTCGTTTAATGCTTTAACAAAATGACTCTGCAGCTCTAATCCACATAAAGTGTAGCTACACACGGAACGGTACAGGCTATTGCATCAAATCAACGTTAACTTAAGCAGGCCTGTTATAGTCTAATTTATTATTAATCCTTGCTAAGGCTTGAACGAGTTTAAGAGAAAGATATGGAGTATAAATATAGAAATCAATAACTAGGCAGCTGGCTGCAACGCAATGCAGCTGACTATTAATCAAGAAGCCACAGTATATGTCAAACATGAACGTCTCTCTCAAACTTTCTTGCACACATGCAACACACACATGCTGGCATGCAATCACATGCTCTCTCTGATCACTGCTGTGTGCATGACTAACACACACATGCGATCACGCACTCATCCAGGCACAGATCTGCTTCACTGCCCGAGCAGAGATGATATGCAGAGGTGGAGTAGAGAAATAAAAAAATTGTAAATTATTCAAAGAATAAATCTGTTGAGTGAGTGATCACGTTTGCAAAATATATGAAGAGCACCTGGTGTACAGTACAATGTGTGATCAAATATTTACAGGCAACATGGGTAAAACACACACAAGAGGCCACAGAATATCTGCTTTCGAGAAGTTGAGTGAGGAGAGCAAAGTCTAGAAAACTGGCACTGTGTTAGCCCTAACATTCAACCCTAAAAAATAAAATAAATTGTAATTTATAACAACACACTAACATGACATCTACTTTGGATTATTGCAGGATGTTGGCCGGTATATATCAAAGCTTTGTGAAACAGTGCTGACATTTTGCAATGACCTTCAAATCTGATCTGCAGAGGTGGAAAACAGCAGGAGTGACGCTGGTCAGGCGCTGAGGGAAATGGGGATATTCAGCAGGGGTTGGCGAGTGTGAAAACCTGAGGATCCTGGCTACCTGCTGCTTCTGGCAGCACCGCGGACAAAGAGAGGGCTCAACACTTTTTTCTATTTGATTGCAAACAATGAGGGGATTTGAATCTACTCATGATAGCCATGGCAACGGATTTCGAGTGCCAACCATCATGTGGATTTAACTTCTTTTTTAAAGTGTCAAAAATAACTACAAAAATCAAAAATACAATATTTAAGGGATCTGTGAGCGAGGTCACTTTTAGGCACTGACTTCTGCTTCTTCACATTAAGTCAGAATTTGTGATGAAAAGCAAAAGATTAAAGCAGACGTCATAACAACAACAACAGGCCTTTCATTCGATAAATTTGGAGTCACCAATGAGCTGTTCCGCTAAAGAACGAGTTCAAGGACACAGTTTGAGTTGGTCTCCCATTCTCCTACGTTTGGCACTGGTATAGAAAACCAAAAGGAGCTTAACTATTCTGTTGGTTTCTCTAGGTATTTTCCACAGCCACATTCACTGAGGTTGCTACAATCATTGCATTGATGATCTGCAGTTAAAGGTATGAAAACATTTATCGTAAACCTATTTAAAGTAGTACCATGAGGTGATACGTGGAATGCATGTACAACATATCTCTGAGAAAATATTTCTTTTTAGAAGATGCAGACGTTTTGATATCGTACAAGTAAGAAAATGCACAAAAATACAAACTGCTCTGCCGTGTTTAGCTTTAAGTCGCAGTGCTACAGACGAGCTACATTAGATCAAGCATGAGATGCAATAAAGTCCCTAAAAAGGCATCTAATTGATTTAGCATGTTTGCCCTCCCCAGTATAAAAATGGTATTCTGGAAGCACTGAATCATGGGATTACACTCCCAGTCCAATACAAAGTAATATCATCAGAATCTGAAAGCAAGGCATGAATGTTTTCCCTCCGTGAATTCGACTATGTATGTTCCTCGACTCAACTATCAACACAGGTACACGACGTCTACGCTGTGCAGGTGCCGATGGCTTAAACCTGCTGTTAGGCTTTCGGTAATCATAATCCATTAAGTGTTTGACTGGTTCTGGTAGTTGTGGTGTATGTGGGGTGCTCAGTCACTTCCCTCTAAATAAATGACTGAATATAAATGAATTTCTGTCACTTGGTCGTTCCAGTTTCCCCACTGGAGTTATGCCACTAACAGGCCGCCTGCTCCCCACAAACCAAGCATGTGTTGGTATACATGTGTTGGACATTCCTGTTCAACAATCTCCCCTCGGAGGTGAGTAGTCTTTAGCTCCTCGATCGCGTCTGCACGACACCGTGTGATGCCCCCCTTGTTGTCTAAAAGGTCATCCCTACATCCGACCTGCAGGGGTTCCACTGTGTCTTTAACCTGCCTCCCAGGTCACCGCAGGTTGAGGGCCAGGGCCACTGTGAGGATGATGCCCATCAGCATCAGGAAAGGCAGCCAGGTCTTCAGAAAGCCTGCACAGCTGGAGCGGGGAGAGGAGAGACAGATGAGTGAAGGTGAGGAGAGTGTGGAGGTGATGACATGCATATAGTCCTGATGATACCCTGCACCAATAACCCTCCGCGTCCACTTGCTGTTACCGTGACATCACCAGGCTACATCCACACTTTTCTGGCATTTTGGAGCCCCTAAAATGGAGACTGTTGAAAACTCTGCTGACCCTGTTTTAGTTTGAAAACTCCATGGTGGCACGGCGGAAATGGATACTTCTGAAGCGATGACACAGACACCCATGATTGCTTCCAGACTGGGCCTTATCAGTCACGCCAAGACAAGCCAAAACATTATAGCTAAGTCTACATACCTTTTGGGATTTAATCCTTCTCATGTGGGTAACAAAACTACTTTCCATTGCAAAGCCTTCCTCTGGTGATGGTTGTGCTTTTGTAATGCTGCCATAATTGTTTTGCAACAACTCCCAATCTGTTTTCCACCACCTTGAGAGCTTTATACTCATGTCTTACTTTCAGTAACAGTTCCACCTCTTCGTCAGTCCAAGCAAATAAACCTCTGGTCTTACTTTTGGCCACCTCCGTAGTATATTCTCCAAGTGGCTACAGAGGTAAGTGACTACAGTGACTTCAATTGTCTTCTCTAATCAACTTCTTACTTCTCAACACACATCAGAGAGCCACTGGGATGTGCAGTCCCTTCCTGTAACAGTACTATACCACTAAGGCCTCCTGGAGAAATGTCCTATATACACTCTTACTACCTCCCTAGAATCAGGGCTCTCTCTCTCGTGTCCTGAGACACAACAGGTTCAAGGCATACCAGTAAAATCATGTCCGAGCCCCTGGGATCGCAGCGAGAAACCTCGTTCACAAGCTCCAGCCCTACTTCTTGTGGTGTCTTTGAAGAGAGCAGCTGGAGATTATAGGGTAGCAGCAGCAGCTTATCC